GCTCCGCTCTTGGAGAGTGCGGGAGAGACGGGGAGGCGGAGCGGGTTTCTGCGTGGCAACCAGTCCTGAACTGCTTTAACCATGGCTTGCAAAATAAGCCACAGTCCGTCTGCTCTCCCCTAGTTCACAGCCAAGCCTGAGGGGTTAAGTTTTAAGTTAAGATAAGTTAGGCTAAATTAAGTTAAGGGGTTTGCATGGATGTGGTCACTGATCAATGACGCTTTGCAACTCCGGCTTAACTGCACTGAAACAACCCTAAACCACACGCAGACCGCCTTTCGTCCCCTCCCGTCCCGTGCCGGATGGCCAATGGGTAGGACGTTTTGGGTGTTTGGAAGACTCCTTGCGGAGCGGCTTCTGTAGACCCCACAGACAAATGCAGGTTGCATGGCATTAAAGGAGGCAACCTGCAGGAATGAATCATCAGCATTTAGAATTATTTTTAACGTTCATCTCCTCCTCCTCCTCCTCCTCCTGCCTTTTATATATATAACTCAAGGTGGTGAACATAACTAATACCCCTTCCTCCTCCTATTTTCCCCACCACAACAACCCTGTGAGGTGGGTTGGGCTGAGAGGGGGACTGGCCCAAAGTCCCCCAGCCGGCTTTCGTGCCTAAGGGAGGCCCAGAACTTACCGCCGCCTGCTTTCTGGGCCAGCCCCTTCCCCACGACACCAAACTGGCTTTCTGTCGTTAGCTACTTTGGAGTGTAAATGCAAGGGGACATTTTTTTAATGTATTTTATTTTATTTTATTTTATTGAGCAGATTGATGCCCTGTTACAATCCGCAAGCCCTCTCAGGGGCCGGGTATGAATGAACCGATAATTTGGGTGCCTTCATTCACAGAGCACGCTGGCCTCATCTAAAAGGGTTTCTGGCTTTGCCTGTGGTTGTGTTGTGGGAAATCCAGCCAGTCTGCCTACCATGATGCCATCTTAAGTTATAATTGCTTGGGGATGGGATGGGAGGTGCCCCCAATCATTGCCTTCGATTAACCTGGGTTTAGCATGTTGTATGAACATAACCAGGGTCTCGAGCTCTGTCGTCCCTCTCTTCCCCCACCCTCCAGGGTGCATCTTCACTCAAACCCACTGAAAGGAAAGCACCCTGTATGATTCCCCCCCCCCCCCCCCGCCCCCCCCTCTCCTTCTTTCCCCTGTTTTCCTGGTTTTTTTGTATCTACACCCCCCCCTCTCCCCCGCCCCCTTTTTCTTTTATT